TGAAAGTGGCTGAGACTCAACCACAAGCTCTCGTTCACCTCTCTAATGTATCTCCAGTGACTGCTTCCTTTCTAATCTCAATCTCATTTGTGGGAATGTGGCCGTTTCTGCTATTGTATAAATGAATGATGAATTGAACATGTCTAATGTGAATACTCTGGAGAATTTGCCTGTCACTTATTAAAATCTAAATAAATCATGGAAACATTACAGTTACAGGAAAGCAGATCAAATTACTTGATAGCCAGTAGAAGCAAAAAAATTGTCATCTTACTAAAACTGTGTTTTTTGGGTCTTACATTTTAACATATTGCTTTATTAGTACACTAGGTCAATATGCATACTGTATGTTAAATTAGGAACATGGTACCAGACTGTGATTTGATTCTGCCGTTGCATGTTCATACATGCTCAGTGTGGCATTGTTAAGCGATCAATGTTTGATTAGTCATTCCTGATTTTTATTTGAACAAATGCAACCCTCTCTTTAGTGCTCCTTCAGAAGCTCAAGGCAAGAAACATGTCCTAGTCTCCTACTCCTCTGCTGGGTTTGGATGGCTGTGTAAAAAGTAGGGCTTTTTATTGCCAAGAAGTTGATGATACGATACAGGGGTTACGATTCAATGTATTGTGATATATTGGGATACTGTGATTAAGGTGATGTTGCGACTACAAAGAAATATTATAGAAAACTTTCATAGTGTAAAGAACACACCACCATCAGAGTAAAAAAAGAACAATGAGATCTACATTTGTATTTATGCATGTATGTATTTGTTTACATCCAACATCATCGCCCTCAGTTTACGTTTTCAACATCGCTATTTAGCATTTGGAGGCAGAGTCAGGCAGAGACCAGGTAACCCGCGAAAACCGGCCAAAAACTATATTTATATCAATTCAAGGGTACAGGCATGGGTAAAAATGAATTAAATGCTGTAAATGGTATTTTCTTACACCCAAAGTAAAAAGTTGACAGTGACAACAAGGCCTTCTACCCAAAGCGGAAAAGTTTTCAACTCTCAGCGCCAGCTAGAGGTAGTTAGTTTTACATTGTTACAGTGACCGACCAGAGAACATTTGATGCTAAACTAACAAGGAAGGTAACGTCACCAAGCAGTTGCTGCTGCAATGCTGACATGCAGAGAGGACTGATCTGCAAAACTTACATGAACCTGTTAAGCAGCTTTCAATTCTTGGAGGTCTGTCCACAGTTGGAAAGCCTCACTGATGTTAACAAACTTTATCGACCATTTTTCTGAGATAACATTGTGGCGTTCAGCATGTTAGCATGTGCCAGATTTACCGTCCCTCTCACTTGGATTAGAATGGCTGAGCTCACCTTTACGTACGTCTTGGTATTTGGTTTCCAGTAATATAAGCAGTAAGCTCAGAAAACCTTAGGCCCGCGGACATCAACAGAAGGACTCTCCAAGCTAAACCTGAGATGAGCAGCCAATAGAGTGTAGTTCAGATCCAGATGTGTTGAATTAAATCCCCCTGTTGCATCCCAGAATGCCTCTGAGACTGCTCTGGCTCATAAATCAATGTGATCTGTATCCAGAACAGACACTGCACGGACAGACGCAACCTGCTTTTGTTAGCTGCTACCTCTTTCTTAGCCACTACCTCTCTGCTTTTTTTACACAATGACTCAGCAAACACACTCGGAACCAGAAAACATCCAAAGCCATTAAATGTTGTGAAGAAGGGGGAGAAAGTGGTTGGGAGAAAAAAAAGTCGGACGAAGAGCAGAGAATGGGGGTATAATTTCCATGCAAATTTGCCATGTGGTACAAATCTTACTCTGACATTTCTCATGTTTCCCAGCTGTATGTTCCTTATCCAGCTTTACGGGAAACACTGTTTTTGTCTCTCCCCCATGAGATACATGTGGAGAAAAAGGATTTGAATGAGTCACTTACCCTCACTTTTCTATATGGGAGTCCAAAAATAAATAAACATCTCTATTTTTACCTGACTCGTGTTCTAAAATGTTCTTTTCTGACTTGAGTTAGTCAACGTTGATAATATATTAAAATCCAAGAGCAGACAATATCTTTAGTTTAAAGTGGGAACCTATTGTGACGTCACCCGTTGGTTTGTCGAGTTTGGCATTATAGTCGTCACCATGGCGGTTTATCGGAGCCAGCAGAGGTGATGTACTGTGAGTTGAGCTGCTCTCATTGGCTGCGCAATTTTAACTCGTCCATTGCAGAAAACAATGATCACGTACAATCTCATATTACAGCTGAACAGTTGACAAAAATATGTTTCTGAAATGATTTTAAGTGACAAATAGACAACGCAGTAACATAATCTAGCTCCATATTCGATCAGCACTGCCTAGTTTGACAGTTTGATCTGAGTTTGGTGGGTTGAGCTGGACGGACTCACTGAGAATGACCTGTCAATCACAAGGTAGCCACCACCAAAAGCTTTATCATCTATTTTACTCTAAATTGGACCATAATTTACCAAATGAACATCGTGCTGTACTTGAAACTAGCGATTGAGACCATAAACTCATTAGGAAATTGTTTACAGAGCTAACAAATCAAGTGGGAGTGTAGGGTAATGTCTCCATAAGGCTTCACTTCACAGGCCCGGAAGTTCTGACAATTATATATACTGTCAATGGTTTAAGCCTCAAACCTTTTGCGTCATTACTGACAGCTGTAGAGTTGCATAACAGTAATGTTTGCATCTATAAAATACAACACATTGCATTGTGGGATTGTTAGCTAATGTTTCTGCTGTCATATCAGTGCTGTAAAAGTGCATTCCTAACATGGTAATTAAAATATTTTGTGTTTCATTGTTTCAAAGGAGGTTTTGGAGACTCACTTTACAGTTACTTTATAATTACCACTGATATAAAAGTCAAAATAAATCCGCCTTCTTGTACATTATATCCAACTGCAAATGTAGCCTCATATTTTCTCACAGTGGTGCTGTGGCTTAGTTGTATAACTGTCTGTCTGGTAAACAAAAGATCACGGGTTTGAATCCTTGTGGTTTCTGTTGATCTGTTAATTAGTTTACTGTCTCAATTGTGAAATCTTGACATTAATCTTTGTAGCAGTTAGTGTAGGTCACTGTGTGTGCTGCAAGAGATCTGACAGTATTATTCAGTTCCAGTGGGAGTTATTCATGGTTATGTTTTTATTAGTGTAGAATTGTAAGAAAAAAAGTTGTGTTTTTGTTACCTTAGAATGAGCCGTTTTATCTACAGAGTCTTCCATATTGAACAGCCATGTTTCTATAGTAGTCACAAGGGAGTTGTAATCTGCAACCACACTGATAGACGTCACCAGGACAGGCAACAGAGATGACTGGTCCCCTGAAAAGGTCCACTGACAAGGCTGTCCCCAGATCTGCTTTACTCATATCAACACATGCGTATTGTGGGCCTCTATGGGCCCTCCTAGTGGCTGGGGTACAGAAAGCTTTCCCCTTTCCCCCCTTATGGGCGGCCCTGGATGGCACTAAATCCTATAAAGTGGAGCCATATTTCACTGGGTGCCCCTTTATGACAGGTACAATATATTCCATATAATACAGGGAGTTTATGTAACATTTGAAAGAAGACATGGAACATTCATTCTCTTACAAATGAAAAGTTTAACTCATAAGCTACAAGACTCTCCCTTACTCAATTCAATATACTTAGGGTTTTTGCTGCTACAGCTTTACTTGGTCTGGTATGTGCGGTAGCTTATGGTGGCTAATGTTAGCAAACTTCAGCTATTACGGTGAAACTCACATTATTGAATCCGTTTGCTGACTTTATGACTACTCTTTACTTGTGTTATTGTTATGTTACATTTTAGCATTTACCATTATCCCTGAATTACTTGAGGCAATGGTGGCCACTGTTCAGCTAAAGTTAGTCTTGTTTTAATAAATGTATTTTGGACGGTTTGGTAGGGCTGCACAATTAATCAAAATGTTAGTTATTTATTTTTTTGGCCTTTATTTGATAGAAAGACAGCTGGAGATAGACAGGAAAGGGGGATGGACAGAGAGGGGATGACATGCAGCAAAGGGCTGCAGGTCAGATTCAACCCCGGGCCACTGCGTATATGGGTCGCCAGCTCTACCAACTGAGCTAAAATGTTATTGAAATTAATATAATCAAATGTAATATCCAAATCACATAAGCTGCAGTGTTTTGAAAAAGGTAAACTGTGTGACAAACAGCATTATAATGAAATACTGTAGTGCAGCAAAATGCCCTGGCCTACAAATCCTGCTCTCCAGATGTAAGAAAAACATGATCAGTACAGACCCCAACAAATGTCACATCATCATGAAAAGAGTAGACTTTTAGAGGCTGTATCCAGGACATATTATCCATACAAATTCCTCGAGACCCTAAGCTTTTCATGCTAGGTCTATACAAAGTGAATCATAATACTGGAAGGTCACAACACATTTTTTTAGAGTTTGTTTGTGGCCAAGAGTTATTGCTCCATCGTGGAAAAAGGTCAGCAGGCCAAATGTGGTTGAATGGATTTCTGAATGATCTACAACTCTACCCTTACAATACATATGCTATCAGTGGTAAGCAAACACTATTTGACAACATTTGGTGTCCCTTCATATCTTATTTAGAGAAGATAGATAGATATGATGGAAGCACATTAGGATATATAAGTAGCCCAGTGCAGTGGCCAAATCCTACAAAGCTTTTTGTTTTCAGCATATGTATATTAATATTAGACATGCTTAGGATTCAGTGGCATCTTGCTGACTGTGAAGAGTGAAGGGGAAAACTACCGTGGCGAAACCCGCAAAAAACATGATGGGCTACTGTAGAAACATAGCGGTTCAACATGGTGGATGGGAAGGCGTTCAATTATTACTGTGAATAATAAATTCCATTTCTGCCAGTACATCATTCTAAATGTTACACACCTTGGACCTTCACAATGCTGAAGACTGTGCATGATTGTGTGATAAAAGCTGACCATTAACAGAAAAACAGAAAACATATCTTTGGTTTTGGGATTTTTATTGTAAATGTGTTTTACGTAAGAACAAAAGCAAAAATATAAGATTTTAAGCAACTCTTTCTTTGTAACGTGTTTACAGAGCACATAACATACTCATCACGTTTCATAATACATTTATGCTATATTGCAATTTGCACCTGACAAAGTGGGTGTGCAAGTCAAGAAAATGCATGGGGGGAAATGTATTATAAATTCCGATCCATGGATGTAGTATGAAACTTTTGATGAGCCTCTGAATAATGTGTTGTGTAAAAACCTGACAAAAAAAGTAAGTCACCACATTTTTCACTACATATTTGAATTATCATGTTATGTACACATTTTTAGAAAAATCTTTCACAATCACAGAAATCACTAGAAGAATATTAAAGTTCTCCTCTCAGATGCATATACAGTATTTACATACATTCGTGGGCTCGCATATGACACCCATTCAGAAAAGCATTTCTTCTGATTGTATGGAAGGAATGCCTGACGCAGATTACACACTTCCTCTGTACAGCATATCGTTCAGGCGCTGTGTGCCGAACACTCAAAAGGTTAGTCGATCGTTGCAGGTTTCAGCAAATCAAACACTTCCAAAAAAACAACTCAGTTCCAGTTCAAACTTTAACATTCTGTAATTCAAACTATTTCAATAGCTGATCCTCGACTTTATGGCACAGGTAACCATCTCTGGACTCTGTGCAGTTTGCATTTTGTGTCCCTCCCATGACTCATTTGGTTTAACTCAGATGCAGAATGACACACACTAAAGCAATGTATACAGATACATGTAATATGACAAAATAGCAAAACAGTCACTGTTCCCTTACAGTACAAGACAAAGGCATCTCACTTTATGGCAAGAGATTTGATATGTTCAAGACCAGGGACAGATAGTAGTGTTCCATAAATGCTCTTTGATTTTCTATTAGCCTTAAATGGAGCATAAAGATTCCCTAGAAGTTTTGTATGTGCTGTGATGGAACACATTTCCAGTCTCAACAAATGGGCACCAAGTGTATTTTGATTTTGAATTTGATATGCAAATCATTTCATTTTTATTTTAATGAAATACATTTTTGGAAGCAAGACGACAAACAAACTTGATTTGGGAAGAGAAGAGGCTTCAAGAGGAGCTAACAGAGCCATAGTTTACTTGATGACTCTTTAAGATATAGGAACAAAATATTCCTTATATTAAAGCGAGTCTATGTAACTTTTGAAAGAGGCTATAGCACATCCATCCCTTAACAAATGAAAAGTTGAATTCCTAAGCAATAAAATACTAAATGCAATACACTCGGTCTGGGGCGAATTCTTTATTTGATTTTGCAACGGCGCACAATTCCAGTCTCAATAAATTGTACCAAAAAATCACTGAAATTTGATATGTATTTTTTTTTCATTTCATTTGATATGTAGAACTTAATTTGTATTCAACTGAATCAGTGGAAAGAAAAGGGGGAAAAAAACTTGATCTGGCAGGAGAGGAGGCAAGAGATTTGATATGTTCAAGACCAGCCTTTCCTTGCAACTCTTAGTGATGTGAATTTACCATCTTGTATTATACTACTTATTTTTTCACAGCAGTGACATGAAGTAAATAAAGTGGCATAAATAAATTAAAGATGTGGCATCACATAAGATCAGGATGCCAAAAAAAAAAATGCTGTGTTATATCAAGAGCTGAAGAACAGACATGCTTCTCTAAATACTTGCTTTCATCCTTGACTTGAAGTATTTTGTGGGTAATCCTTGCATCTAGCTATACCCTCAGTTGGTTTTGATCCAAAAAGGCCATATGGCAAATATTGTATATGACAAATATTCTGATAAACTGTCTATCGTACAGATGAGACAAAAGGGTGTTAGAGAACAGTGAAACAAGTAAGACCAACTACACAAAATACTCCAAATACTTTGAATTGGGAGACGACCAGAAATTATTGTGTGCCAGTGCAAATTACATAGTGACATGATCTTTGTTTGAGGGCAGTAATTCAACATGAACTTGAGCTTTGTTATTGTGTTTTTTCAAAGACACTTATTCAGAGCTAAAGGAATGTTTGCCGATAATTAAACCAAGGCCCCGACAGTTCCCAAGTAGGCTCTTGCTGTTCAAAATTCTATTAAATTTAAGCCATTAAGCAGTGTGTTTTTGTTAATATTACTTTTAACATTTGGCTCTATGAAGGTAAAAAAACTGGGGTTTTTAAATAATAGCAGACCCCTTAGTGATGCAGCTTTTACTGATGTAAGGCTTTTGACTCCAGCAATAATAATAACATACACCTCAAAGTGTAAAAATACTCTGAATAGCAAATATTTCTTCAAATTAGATTAGCTAAAAGATGTGAGTGAGACAAAAAAAAAAGTAATATACAAGAAGCTTATTCCACCTGTGAGGGTGTTGTGTCAAGTAACAGTTTTCTGTTTTAGTTTAGTTTTTACAGTCTTTTCCTCGCCACCCAATAAATTATCACAGTACCATGAACGTACGTCACGCGTACATATTTGAACATAAACACACACACAAGCTCAAAAGTCCTGCACAGACTCCTTTAGAAGGTGTTTGGACTTTCGCCCCCCTCCTATGTCTTCCATCACACACAAATACACGCACACAGCCCCCTCCCCTCTGCTTTTTAACGTCAGTCCATCAGAGTGGGGTCAGAGGGGTCAGTTTGCAGAGCGTCCTGTCCTGCTGCTTCGTGGAAAGCGGTGGACTTTGAGGTGTTTCGACAGGTGATCGCTGCGGGCAAACTTCTTCTCGCAGACGATGCACTGGTATGGTTTTACTCCAGAGTGGGAGCGGCGGTGTCGGGACAGCTCGTCAGACCGGGAGAACCTGCCAGGAAAGAAACCCAGGACGTCATTCATCAAACTGATCAAATACTTAGGACATTAAGCATCTCTTTATTAACGCTTCCCCACTCATTACTTCAAATGTTTCTGTTTTATCCTTAATCATAAATGTCAGTTGACAGTCAGTAATGTCAACCTCACAAAGTCTCCCTATTCTTTTCCTTTTGTGTATAAACCAACCAATCAGTTTCTTTACAGCACTTCCTATACAAAAATAATGGCTGCAGTCATGCTTCAAGCTGCCAAATAACAGAAAAGCCATGTCAAGCTGTTTTATATGAGGGTAATCTGAGAGGTGTGACACTATACATGTGTATTGCCCTGCGTCTTCTCTGTGAAGTTAAAGAGCCGTTCCATATTTAGCTCAACACATGAGCACCGCAAATCCAAGCTCAGTCTATTCCTGACCTGCTCTGCCCTGGGTATACTGCCTCCGGCCAGCTTGGATATCACGCTAGTGAAGGGTTAAGTGGATGATAGAGTGGCACCTGTTGTATTTGTGTGTGTGTGTGTGTGTGTGTGTGTGTGTGTGTGTGTGAGTGCGTTTATCTGTGTGTGTATCTGTATATATTAGTAAAGCTGTTAAAATCAGATTAATCTGTAACACAGATTGATTTCCAGTAGCAGCAGAGGCAGGCTGAACGCATGAAGGCGATAATTCAGAGATGTATAAATGTCACTCACAGTTATTTCAAACCATTTCCACTTTAGACATTACACTACTGGCCTATTCATCATTTTAATGGCCCAGTAATAAAAAGAAGATAACTGTCAGAGCTTATAAAGCTAAGCTGCGGCATCTGAAAAGCTAAGAAACTCAAAACAAGCAATTCAGACTTGATGACTCATTTAGTTGATTATTCAGTATTGAGATCTTTTTAATCTGCATCTCTGCAGTGAATTTTGGTCTATAGCAGTCAGATAGCAGTGACTGTTACACATTTAAGCCATATCTGAACTCTTACATTATAGTTGGTGACCCTGCATCTATTTGCCTTATCCCAGCAGCATAGAATACTCAAATTAGTACAGATAATCAGTCATCAGTCTACAGCCATAGTCCTTTGAGCTAAATGCTAATATCAGCATGTTATCATGCTCACAATGACAATGCTAACATGCTGATGCTAAGCAGGTATCATATTTACCATGTTCACCATCTTAGTTTAGTGCATAAGCATGCTAACATACTACATACAGGATGAGGCTGTATTTGGATAAACTAAAGCAGTGGTTCCCAACCTTTTTTCCTTGAAGCCCCCCTTGCCTGTGTCCAAGACAAGTCAGGTACCCCCAACCTCAACCCCTACCCGCATACACGCACTAAATAGGTAATAAATAGCTTAATGAATTTAAATGTTGACCAAGATATGTGTCAATTTGGATTATACAGAGTTTTGATTATCCAATTGGGTGTGTTATTGGGATTTTATAAATTAAATTTTTGTAAATAATTATTTTGGTAACCTCACAACCTCAGCAGACAAAGTTGTGCGCACCCCCCAGGTTGGGAACCACTGAACTAAAGCACTGGAATAATTACAATCTGATGAAAGCGCTAGGTAAAAAAAGTTAAGGTATCTCCAAAGTTATTACAATTCATCCTGATGGGGAAATGAATATTTCATGGCAAGCACTAATGCAATTCTTTTTTTCCTGACAACAGCAATGTCTGTTGCAGAATAATGTCAAGTCTGTTCTTCATTTTACAGCAGGTGACAAAAGCCTTGAGGTAAATATGACTCCACACATCAGTCTCTTTATGCTCTGTACTTAATATGACTGTACATTTGTTCCTTATGGTGATCTGTGCGTGCACATCCACACATTACACCCTAAAGCTAAACTACCTCAGCTTCAAGCTGGGGCATGATACAAACCATGTACAGCTATTCTTCTTACTCAAACTAGGCCTGAGCCCAAATAACATACTGCACCAGGGAGGATCTTTCAACAGAACATGCATTAGGACTTGCAAATACTGATTGTTCTTCAAATCCACTTTTTTGGGGAGGAAGATTGATCATGTGCCAGTTCTCTTTCACAGCCTCACCATCTGTCTCTCTCAAACTCATGCCCTCTCTTGCTGTAGCTCTACCTCTATTTCTCTACTCCTCTCCTTCCTACCCTCGGCTCCATACGTCCCAGTGATGGTGGGCGAGGTGAATGGGTTTATAGGGTGGAGGGCACTTATGTGGATCACTTGATGACTGTGGTTTTTGCCCCTTAAGTCCTCAGGGCGGCTTTGGCGTGGCTGCAGCACTACACATAGTATACATATTAGTGTAGGCGCTGTGGGAAACACATATGCAGGCTTTGTTCTAGCTTGTCCTTAAACTCTGCTCTGCAGCCAACAGAGCATAGTGGAAACAGCTGAGAAAGGTGGGGCTGTTAGGTTGGTTACACACCTGGAAAATTACAATAACAGAGATATTGGCGAGCACATGTACTGTACAGAGTTTTATCTGTCATCTTTATTTTCCTCGTCTTCTTCTTGCTTAGTTTATCCTGCCAGCTCAAAGACTTAGTGTCTCTCGTCACTGTGTTTATGAGTGGCTCAGTTTCAGCTCTGAGTAAGTTGAAAGGGAAATCACATTAATGCATGGCAGCACTAATCAGTGACAGAAGTTTGCCTCCTACATTAAAAAGCTATATACAAGAAACCATAAAACTACTTTTGACTGATTTATAAAAAATGATTAAGCAGTACACTGAATCCTTTCTAGCTCCATGGAGGCTGCTTTCTACAAGACCCCAACCTTACGCACCTCCCTGCAGAAAACGTACATTAGTTTCCTAAGGTAAGGAAAGCACTCTCTCCTTGGCCGTCAATTGAGCTTAGATGCTGAATCAATCTGTGCTAGCTCCGTCACCACCCAAAAACATTGTTCTGTTGTGACGGTGAATGCATTAGCTGACAAGGACAACAAGCCACTGCCCTGATGACAGACACCGAGCACACACACGTCACACTGTTATCACAGCAAACTGTTTGGGTTTGAGCCATCCAACGCTGAGAGTCTCCATGCAGGTCTGAGCTGAAAATACTCGCTCGTGTGTGCGTGTTGCCTGCATGTGTACCTTTAAGTGTTTACATGTGACTTTGTCTGTGCAGATCTTTGCATGAGTATAACGATAAACTACAGCCAGAGAGAGAGCGAGGGATACAAATCCAGAAAGCTTTAAACAAGAAAACAGTTTGGCAAAGGATGAAATATAGCTTTCACTGGGTTATATGTAGGAGTCGAGCCAATGAAATACCACTCCTCTCTACTTCAGAGGAGCCAACACATGGCTCTATTCTAAGGTTATGGAGGGCAAGAGGGGGCCTGACTCCCCAGCTCACCTCCATTTCCTGGCCCAGAGGGAGAGGAGCAGGGAAAGGGCAACTTTATAATACAGTATACTGCTGCTGTCATGACTGCAGCAGTGTAGTTCTGGGAGGACTGGGGGTATTATGTTTTTAGTTTAGCTAAAGAAATGCATGGTACTCAATGCCTGCAGCACAGAAAACATACTATATGTATTCATGTGTCAGCTGAAACAACAAAGTGATGCTGCATTAAAAAGCACTACACCATTCACACCGACTGCAGCATGTTTGAAAAATGCTGCTCTGGTGTTGGATATGCTCACTCCTTTCCACATTACAAGATTTCTGTGTATAAAAGTATAAAAGTTATTATATTTTGTATAAAATGTTTTCTTACATGTACTTCTAGCTGCAATTTGGGACTGCTAATTAAGTAGATTTTTATGCCAAATTAAAGGAATAGTTTTACATTTTGGATCTACGTTTTTGTCGAATTTTTCCTACCAGGACTTCTAAGTTTTTATTAATTAACAAGCCATATCTTTTCGTTTGTTTATTCCATGCACAGATTCATACACATGTTTATAAAGAAGTTGTGGTTTAACATGGAGTTATGTGCTGCAGTAACTTCCTGGAGTCTCTGCTGTCTGCCTGGCAACCTCACTGTGGAGCAAGAAAGCCAATAAATACATTTTCCAAAATGTCTAACTATACCGTAAATCATCATCATCAGCTTGGTGCCAGTACACAGGCTTCCACAGTAAATGAGAGAACAATGTTTGCCTCAAGCCAGCTTTTAAAATGCATAATCATGCAACTTGTTTTGTCCAGATTAACTTCATATTACATAATATGCTTAGAAATACTTGGAGGTATGCCCAGACATAATCCATATTGCAAAAAGTGTCAGATATGGAGAATTCTAAGGTGCATTTAAAGCCTCCTCCCAGAGTGTGGTGTTGCAGGGAGACTGATAAAGTGTGGACCAGAACTGTCTGCTAAGCTGGGCCAAACTTATCTTATTGGCTCTTTCTCATACACACAGGCACATGTGTAGTACATTTTCTTACCTAAACCTCATACAAAGTCTAACCTCACCCTTAAAGGACCAGTGTGTAGGATTTACTGGTGTCTAGCGGTTACGTTGCAGATTACAACCAATTACCACTCGCCTTCCAAGTGTGCAGGATAAACTAAGACGGCTGTGAAACTTATGTAAAATCAGTGTGAAACATGGCGGTTCAACATGGTGGACTCTGTAGAAGAGGACCCACTCCCTCTGTAGATAAAAACAGCTCATTCTAAGGTAACGAAAACACAACAGTTCTTATTTTTAGGCAATTATACACTAATGAAAACATACCTATGTCTGCCAATAGATCCTCCTAAATGTTACACACTGCGTCTTTAAACGCAAATCATTACCATAGTTTAACTTTAACCATAATGCTTGCCCTAACTTAACCCTGCCTCTGTCCATGTGTGTACACACATGCACACACAACCCACACAAGACTCTATATGCACCCTTGAGCAATAACTGTATGTACAGAGGTGGAATCCATTGGTCCACAGGTCCAAAGCTGGCATTTGTACTTGTACTGGATAGAGTTTACAGTATTTTTTTATTTTTTTTTACTTTGATGAAAGAAATGACTAAAGAACACAAAATCTAATTACGCCAGCTTGCAACCAATGAGAACATGAAACATAGAAATTCATTCTGGGCACCATCAGAACTTGTCTGAAGAGAACACTTTGAACTTGATTCTAGAATAATCCAGTGTTTCTCTACTGCATTAATGTGTGTGTGTGTGTGTGTGTGTGTGTGTGCGTGTGTGAAGTGGTTGCAGACAGTGAGCAAACAAGTGGAATAACTAGCAGGGGGCAAAGTCTGCATGCAGACAACTTCAAAAGGTGCTCTATCTAATCTACAATTTTACCATGGTACAAAAATACACTGATAGTGGGAAAACACTGTAGAACATAACAAATTATAACCTTCTTGAATGTTGTTTCCTTGAGGATGAGCCATTTCCCCTTCCATCCATAAACTATGTAAACTGAGCCTTTTGAAACCTCTCACCGTATATTTAACACATATTTATGTCCCCATAAAAACTTTCTCTATCCTGTAAAACAATATCTTGGTGACTCTCTGGACAATGTAAATGACTTCCAACATGTTGTAGTCCTCAGAAAGAAGTTAAACAGACAATAAAACAGTTTCATCCTACTGATGAAGTAAGATCAGTGTCACAGTTTCTTCTTATCTGTAATAACCCCACAATAAAAAGCACCTTCATCACTACTTTGAACTGCACTTTACATGACAAACAACTGTGCAGCACTCTGTATACCTCTGTCTTCACAGGTTCATTTTATTACATTTAAAAGTTTTAAAATTATCAACAGCTATCTTCAAGTGTCTGTGTATGAGACCACAGCGGAAGTTGATAACCCTGGTAAATGTAATCTCTTTACTGTAGATAAACATATAGAACGCTTCAAAAGCAACATTTAGCTGCAACATCAATCCATTCATTCATCTCCATTCACTCAGCCTAACCTTTGATCAGATCTAGGTTGCAATGTGTGTAAATCTGGAGGCAGCAAGAATGTATAAATATAACTCCAATTTATCTTCAAATGTCCAGTCAATATCTGCTTTCTCTTTTGGCTTATTAATTATTCTAATCATTTGATCTTATACAATAACACTTGTTCTGCTCACCTCCATCCACAGCCGGGCCATGTGCAAGCGAAGGGCTTCTCCCCCGTGTGCCTCCTCAGATGGGCTTTTAGGTGGCTGCTCTTGGTGTACATCTTATTGCAGCCAGGAAAAGAGCACTTGTGCATTTTAATAAGGTCTGCTACTGCACTCTTCTGATACCTCTGACCTCCAGCAAGGACCCCTGCAGCTGAACCTCCACCTAACCCACCTTCCCCGAGCCCAATGGGTTTTGCCGCAATGGGCACTGGTGCGATCCGGACAAATTTGGATGAAGCAATGCTTCCGGTTTTATTGGTGCCAGTAATGTTTGCTGGGGAAAGCAGCTGAGGCACCAAGGCAAAGGTCTGCCCCTGGATGTTGACCAGGAGTTGGGCGATTTTTATATCCGATGGGGCCTGGGTTGGCTGGGATTCGGTTTGCTGGGGTTGGGTTTGCTGGGTGACAGCTTCTGATATGGCACTAGGGTTGGGTTCTTGTTTGATCTGTATGGGCTGGATTTGTAAGATGACAGGCACACTGGAGGCAGCACTGGTACCTTCTGACGAGGCTGGTGGTGAACCACAGTCCTCCTGTTTGATCCCATCAACTCCACTACTGGTAGATCTAGAACCAGTTGTACAACTAAAATCCACTGCTGATGGTGAGCTGTCCATGTCAGATGCACATGGTGTATGTTTGGTCTCTGTGTAGGAGGAGGGTGGAGAATTAGCCACAGGCACAGTCTGATCTCTGTTCTGTGACACTGATACGAGTTCTGCTGCTAATGTCCTTGAACCTTCCGCCTCTGCATCCTCTGACGTTGTTGACATTGCCTCATCGCTCCCCTCCTCTTCTTTCTCCATTGCCACCACCATGTTCTCCTCCAGGAACTCCTCAATCTCCTCCAGTGTGGGCTGAAAGAGGATTGCTGCAGGATCCTGCATTTCATCCAGAAAGACAGGGAACTCGTAACAGTCCTCTTTGGCCTGCTGCTGAAGGAGACTAAGCCGGTGCTCCCTCTTGGACTCCCAGGCCAGGCCCATGGGTACAACAGGGGCAGATGAAGAGGAAGAAGAGGGTGGGGAGGATAGAGATAGAGTCGAAGATAAAGGAGAAGAATGTGAGCTGCTGCTAGCATTAGAGCTTAATGAGGTGGTGAGGGAGGCCTGTGAGAGGAGGAGGTCCAGCAGACTGTCTTGACTCTCTCCTCCTGAGGAGCTACAGCTCCCACTGCTCCTGCTGCTCCTGCTTTCGTAGCTGGAGTCGAGAACGTGCCGCAACGTTGGCGACGAGGACTCCGGGCTGGAGCAAAGGGAGGAACGAGGGCTGGAGGAGTCACTGAGGTCATCCTCAGAGAGGAGAGGGGAGGAGGACAGTGTCACCCCTTGATAGGGGTGGTGGTGGTGATCATAGAAGCAAGCATCAGTTACCATGATGCCCGGCGACACACCACCATTGGCGTGGCGACAGGGGCCGTTGTAGTCAGACCCCGGGGAGCCGGTATAGTACAGGAAGGTCTCTTCACCAAGCGGCAAGTGATCCACCATTCCTGTGCGGATGAATGGCAGCTGGACTCTGAAGATCAAGCTGTTCTGCTGGAGATCGGCTGAATGTTAATGAAGAACTTCTTTCTTCTTCCTGCAAAAGACAAATGACTGTGTTTATCACATATGACAATGGAAGAAATGAGTCTTTGAATTGTGCTGCATACCAGACAAACCTACATTGCTTTTCATCTAGTGGCACCAACTCTGACTACGCCAGGTTTTAATTAAATTTGAATTAAATCTAACTTTATAATTAACACATTTGTGCAAAACAAAAACAGCATGACAACACAGTTACACTCTCTGCGGTCAGTCTAACATGAGGTTAATGTTTTACAAGAGAATGCCTCAAGTTTACACTGTTTAAAAATAAGTCAACCAGCAGACAGACTACAAATTATGATTATGACTCAGTCACTACCTGCAGCTTGGTCAAGAGGTCTGCAGCTGATGGCACTTCAAAAGGAAAGTCAACCGTGTGAAGGAAGTGGAATTTGAAGTAAGAGAGAGAGAGAGAGAGAGAGAGAGAGTGTGTGTGTGTGTTGTGTGTGTGTGTGTGTGTGTGTGTGTGTGTGTGTGTGTGTGTGTGTGTAGACACTGCAGCTGCTGGTTCAGACTTCACGCTGACCGTGTGGAATAATTTCTCACGTCTAACATTAAAGCCACATGGTTTTCTGTCATTCGATGATGTGTTTCTTTTTATTTCCCACTAGTGGTCCTTATTACAGCTGAGTCTGACAAAATGATTGCAATGCTACTGAACTTGTGGAGACATAGTGATATACACTCATATATAAAACATATAAAAACTTCCTGCAGACTATCAAGGAGCACAGAAAGGTAATGGCAGGGTTGTATTTCATCAGTCTAAAACCAGCAGATTTCAATGGGATGATGAGTGAAGGATTTAGTGTCTATTTTTATCCACCAAACAGCCCACAAACAATGCACCACGTCTACATTTACATGGATTAAAAAACGCTAGGCATTATCAAATGGCCTCAAAATGCAATGAGTGGCTTATAGTGATTAAACATGACGATAAAACCTCCTTTAAAGCCTTAAAAGCACATGTGTACAGCATGAGGCTGAAAACAAAATGATTGTGCGCCCTCTTCTGTAAAGCTGAAAAGCAGCCGTTTCCAAAGTGAGCCCCTAACAGAGGTTTCTGCTGATTTCCAGAAAATGACTTTTAATACTGAGTTAGACTATCACTGCATTGACTTTAAGTTAGGCTATCACAACCACGGGACGTTAAAGGCGATGGTTCTTAAGATGTCTCACTGCTGTTGTTTCCATACAGTTGGTTATGTAATTAGTGATCTAACGCCAGAATTCGACTCAGATATGGTAGCTCATGCGATAACATCATATGACATCGAGGGGCTGCTGCTGTGCCGAGGCGATACCTCATGGAAAAAAGTTTGGGAAGAGAGTTTGGGAACATCTTGGCTCGGCCAAGTGTTAAGTCATTTGCCCTACAGTAACCCTGCCGCTGTGAAACATCAAAAAGACTTTGACAGCACGATGCCCTCCTGGTCTTCACCACGCTGCATGCAGAATCAGTTAACTCGGGGTTTATGGCACGTTCAACACCGCAGGCTGTGACAGCAAGTCATATCACAGGAAATATTAGTTTGATATGATATAGATATTAACTCGTCCCCAGTAAGGATATTAAACATATTTCTTACTTTGAGTGCAGCCTAAGTGTCGCTCTGAGCTCGCAGTACAGAGACCAAATGTTTCTCCATTCACTCAGTAGAGCCACGCTCCACACTGCACTCCACAAGGAGACACAGAAAACACACAGGCACAAATAAACAAACACTTTTCGATCTATTCAATCACACCAGCGTGCCTGCTCCTCATGCACTCACCTGTTTACGCGAGGAATCCAAAACTCCGCTGCTCTGCGCCGAGCGCTCTTTTCTTAAAAGTAGCTGTCAGTGAAAAAAAAAAAAAAAAAAAAAAAACTAAAAAAAAAAAAAAAAAAAAAAAAAAAAAAAAACGTAATAGTGCGTAATGGCAATGTTACTCCACGACACGGTCTTTGCATAGCTCTACGCCTCCACCACTCTCTCTCTCTCTCTCTCCCTCACACACACGCGCGCGCACACACACACATACACATACACACACACACACACACACACTCTTCAGAGGGCTGGTAGCTCGCTTAACAGTCACATGATCGGAGCTGGGTATGCTATAGCAGTCAAATTAGGGGGTCGGCTCTTGAAGGCTCGCCTGCTCGGCGCGCCGCAATTGGCTCCCGGTAGAGAGGGAGGCCGGCCTCAGGGTCTGGCGTCAGTGGAGAGAAGGAGAGTGAGTGAGTGAGTGAGTGAGGCCAGATCATAAAATCACTTTCATACTCCTACTATAACTAAAGAGGACTTAGATAGGTCATGTAGGGTTTTTTTTTTTTTTACATTGTATTCTTTACTCTTTATTTACATTTTGCTTCTTGCATAACATCCCCATCAGAGCTTTCAGTGAGTGTGTTATATGGGTGACTCACTGTAATGCCCCTGTGATATAATGTTTCTATAATTTATTAATAGGGATATCGGGGTTTACACTGGTTCTTTCATGTATCATCCAATCGTGTAATGTTGGTCTGTGGGAATAAATCATTTTTCATATGATAGAGACTAACTGTATTTGAGACTTTTGGTAATTTGTATGAACTTGTATACACTATGGTTTTCAAGATGCTAAGATACAAAAACCTGGAGAAAAAAACCAGGGGCATAAATAACAGCATTTTACTTAACAAGAGTCCTGTCTGCTGCCTAGACAGCAGTTACAGATGACCGTGGCTGAATAGATGGCTGAGTGAGTGACTGAGGTAGCCATTGAGTAGGTACGTGAGTGTGTTTACATGCTTCCTAATAACATCAGTAATAGAAGTTTTGCTTTCACTCCAGCTGAGCAGACCTTGTATAAACACCTCCGCTGGGCTGCAGTCACTTCACTGGCTCCAACCTAATTTGATTTGCCTGCCTAGGTTAGATTACCTTTCAGTGTGTTTGGATAAATGATCCACTTTCAGCCTGCTTGTAAACACTAGGAGTGTTTCACTGTGTACTTGTATACAGTTGAGAGTCAGTGGTTATTATGCTAAAAGGATACACAATGACACACTGAGGAGGTCTGTTTGGCATATAGCACTCACATTAAATACTACTGCTGCTACTGATACTGCTGTTGTTACTGATAGTGTTACTACTGCTACTCCTACCAGTACTACTGCTATTGCTGCTACTACTACTACTAATGATATTGTTATTGTTACTGATAGTGCTATTACGGCTACTCCTCCTCCTCCTCCTCCTCCTCCTCCTCCTACTACTACTATCACAACCCTGACATTAGGCAAAAATTACTACTTATACTGGTACTACTACAAATACTACTATTACAGCTACTACGATGCAGTTACTACTAGTAATGAACTACCAGTACGACTACTACTGCTTCTGCTACTAAGGCTACTAATATTACTACTAATAATGCTACAACAACTATTAGGCTACAAAAATGTATTGGTCCTACTACAAGTCTTACTATCAGGATGCTACTGCAACTGCAGTTCCTTCTACAGGTGCTAATGTTACCACTAATACTTTTACTGCTACTGTACTACTACAAGTACTATACGATACAATATAACTTAAGCTACAGAGACTGTATGTGTGAACTACTACTTCTCTGAATAGGCTTTTTTCACAGAAGACATTTTGTCCTTAGGAAAAGCTGCTTCGTTTTCAGCATTCTGGTATCCATCATGTTAACTCATGGTCAGCCACTTCTGTCCTGGAAGGCATTTCTAAGGCGGGTTTCTGCAGGGACTTTCCCGAGTAACTTTTGGAGGAACTTAATGTTTCCACAACAGGGACCAGGGTCTAAATTAGGTTACGGTGACCTAGTCCAGTTTCCATTGTTGTATAGTTGTGTACAAAAGTGACATGTTAAAACAGCCACTGGTCTTTCATATGTCAGCGGTTTTAAGTAACTAATCTTTGCAGGTCTTTAAACCACAATGGAAATGTAGACAGGCTGAAGGAACCTTTTAGCTCCTTCTTCTTCTGCGTACTTTGGGTGTTGCACACGGACGTAAACCTGAAAAGGGTTGCAAGTAGTTGTGTAACAAATGAAAAGAGAGAGCTTGAGAAAGAAGTTAAAACCCAGCTTTCGTTTTTACCTCCGCAAAAGGAAAGTGTCAGAAATTGTTAGACAAAGCCACTCCTAATCTGATATCGGGGGAGTGGGTTTGCTTGATTCCTACCACTGCAGCTACACGCAGCAAATAACTAATGTGATTTTGTCAGTGATAACTTTCCCCGCAAACGTAATGGACCGTGGCTCATTTACCAAAGTCTAAGCCTCTCTCAGTTGATGCTGACCTGAAGTCAGACAGGGGTCCTGTAAGGTTGTTGGTGACTAAAGAGAAGCAGGGTAGCTGCTGTTCAAACACTTCTGTTTCCCCACACAGATTAAATCTTTGCTCATATCAATAGACAGCTTGTTGAATATATTAGGAAGTCCTGGTATCTTGTTAGGCTAAGCTCTACAGGGGTTGTCTCCTTGGCCAAATTTGAGTTCCCAAGATATATATTTTAAGTCTAATTTGATGTTACATTTGAGGAAACACAGGGCTCAAAGTGATTACTCACTAACAGAGTCTTATGAAGCCCACAGAGGTTCTTTTCTCTGCCCCGCAAACTAATTGGTTTCGGCTGCTCTATTCAAACTCACAAACACCTACACATATGCATATTATGTAAGCCCCAGATGGACCTAATGAATCAAATTGATTTATTTCCTCTGGTAATGCCTGCAATGTGCCAAAAGTGAAATGAAGAAAATGTGTGCCTTCTGGGATGCACTTTTCAAGGTTGTAACAATTACAGACGATACACTTAACAAAGCTGGCCCTCTCACCAAGAAGGGAGGTATGGGTACTTTCCGGACAGAATACGTTTGGTTATCAACAACACAGAAGCCAGTATAGAATAATAACATACACATTTTGTGAAATGTTTGTGATTTTGGTGATAATGACATGGTTGAGTCTTTGCTGTGATCTCAGTTTTGAGATTGTAGATTGCACACAGTTTTGTTTACCTCTTCGTCACAGTTTGTAACCTTGGGTAGTTCAAGCTGTAACTGGCTTCAGCCTCACCACCTGACCTAGACTCCTGCAGCTTTAAACCCTGCCATGTAAACAGGAAGCTGAAGCAGTTCACTGGGTGATTAGAGCAAGCCTGTGGCTGAATTTACACTGCCGTGACACTAAACAATGACTAAATAAATCTGATTCATTTTTCACATATTGATGGTTGTGAAATGATCAGATCCGTGCCATAGCAGTCAGCAGAGAAAACACTGATCCAACTGTGACCTGTTATGTTTTGTTTTTTTACCTCTGAGATGTTCAAAATGGGTTTCCAAGAAATGTGTTTTTTCGGAAGATTACATTTATTACTGGACACTTCACCCTTTGCCTAAAGTTCTATTTTCAGACACTCTCCTGAGATTCTCACAGTACCAACAGCAAAGTGAAATATTTGTTAAAAAAAACCCTCAAAAAAACAGCTTGTTGTTCGGAACAAAGATTCCCTCCGAGAATTATGCAACAAGTTTTTAATAAAGCCTCAGCCCCCAACCAATCACGACCACTGCCACCGACACAAACACACATGCTCGTACAAACACCCCTCCTGTGTCTAATGCACTTCCTAGACAGCTTAGTTGGCTTTTAGTTACACTGGCAAGTCTCATCCTATTTGATGGATTAAGTGTCTTTGCCTTTTGCCTACATACTGACTCACACAGGGTATAGAATAATTCATACAGAACCACAGTGCAGCAATAACCTTCTTACTTTTGCATTTTGGCAACTGGTCTTGAATTGTGTATGATAAAGCGGGTACGTGGGTTTAAACTTTGTAGAACATCAATCTGCTCACTGTAAACTATAGCTTGACTACCAGGCTGATTTTAGCACAGCTATATCATTATACTACTATTATACAAACTGGCAATAAGTATCAAGAAATTGCGGTGCAGAAATGCCAAAGATATCCCTCCATACATCTCTTGCTGCATTTTTTCCTGAGTTGCAGTAGCATCCGGCTAAGCATGGTAACCCAGACATCCTTCTCCACAACCATGTCCTCCAGCTCCCCCAGGGGGATCCTGGGTTATTCCCAGAGTGTTTTGCCCTGTGGTCTCCGTCTGTACCTGCACAGGGTGGCATCCAGGAGTAATGCCAATTAGATGCCCGAACCACAAAGGGTTCCTGCTTTCAGACAGGCAGACGTACAGCTAGCGAGCATTGATCTTGCAGGTTAAAATGACAGCTGTCACTGGCAGATTCGATCAGTTCCTTCCAGCTATGAACCCTGTGAGTTGTTTTAAAATGATTTCTCCAGCGGATCAAATGAGACAGTTCAAATAAGAATATGAAAATGATTTTTTTCTGCTGAGACAAAGAAAACACTTTTGTAAAAGTACACTGATGAAAATGAAAAGAAACTCATTTGGAAACTGTTTACTGAGCCTAAGTCATTAAGAGTCCTTTCTCCATAAGACTCAATACTACCGGCTTCTTGGTGCAGCCTGTGGAGCTCCCCCTGCTGGCCATTACATAGAATGCAGGTTTTAGACATGTCTTTGGCTTCACTTCACAGACCTGGAAGCTCTATCCGCTATATATACTGCCAATGCTGAAATACACAGATCAAATGATGATGTAATACACTGAAAGTAGCAAAAATGCATGTTATTATGAGTGAGTGCTACAGTAATATGTGGTGCAATGGATGTAGAGTGAAGCAACACAGGCCACTTTGGTCAGAAGTGAGTCCAGGTATGTTTCAAGGTTAAAGAGTGAGAAAGAAACCGAGAGAGACAGGTTAATGAACCATGGCTTCAGACACAATGA